ATAAGAAATAAAAATTAAATAAATCTGAAAAGAAAAATTAATTCGGAATGAAATGATTATTTAAATTAGTGTACAATCTTTATAATGATATTTTACAATAATTAATCACTCACAATTAATCTCATATATATGTATATAAATATATATGAATATATATAAACATATAACACATATTTGAATATTAGTTTCTTCAATTCATTTTTAAAATTGAATCAACTCACAGGATTCAATTATTAGAATTATTAATGTTCTCAATAACAACAGAATTATAATAGTGAGACACAATAATACAAATAAAACAATAATACAAAATAATACAAATACAAATATTTTAGAAACTATTTAATGACAAAGTATGTCAAAATACTTTCATTTTGATTTGAAAATACTATTAAATATTTTATGTTATCAAAATAAAGAAATTATTTAAATATCATACTTTCCATTAAATAATAACATAGTCTCCATTAAGAGAATATTTTCAAAAACAACATGAACAAAAAAAAGAAACAGATTAATAAAAAAAAATTAAAAATAAATTATTTTTTTAAATAGTTATATTATAATAGTTACATATTTTTAAATATGTATTTTATAATATATTTTTAAATAGTTTTATATATATAATAATTATATTAATAAATATAATAAATAATATATAAATAAATAAATATAATATGACAAATATAAATCATAAAGTACAACTAAAATATTATATCATTATGTCATCTTTTGTATATGTTAATTTAATAATTTTTTATTTTTCAATCGATTTATTGTAATATTTTTATTAATAGGATTAATAATGTTATTATAATGTTATTATAATATATTTTATTAATAGGATAATAATGTTATTATAATGAGATTTGAATATATTTTATGCAAATTTTATTTTATTTGAATAGATATTTATTAAAATACTTATAAAACGTTCATATACAATCAACAAGAATTTAATACACTTTGTTTTCATGAGTACTTCTAAGGAGATCAAATATTATATAGTATGGATTTAGAATACGTTTGTGTTCTATTGATTCTCTATTTATTAATATATTTATTATTGATAATTTTAATTAAAAAATGTTCTATTGCATTTAAATCTGCAGATTAAAAAGATTAATCTAAAACTAATACTTCATGTGGAGACAACCATCTTTTTACAATTTTCAATGCATGTTTAAGATCATTATCTTGCTGAAGGTATTAATTTTATGGCATTTTTTTTTTCAGCATATAATAACATAATTTTTAATTTTTAGAATTTCCTTATATATATGATTATCATTCATGATATTTTCAATTTTTATAAGAAGACCAACTTCTTGGACGGAGAAAGCTATCCAAATCATAATGCTTTCTCTATGGTTATATTAATAGTTGGTTTTTGGTACTTAATTGTTTTTTGTGTCAACTGGATGTAACATTGTTATATATAATTATATTAATATTTTATATATAACATTTGTCGTATATAATCGCTTTCAAAAAGATTGAATTTAGATTTTAAAAAAATATCATTTTTTTTTGGCAAACATTAATCGAATTATTTTATTTTTCATATTAATCAATGATTTTTTAACACTAACTCTGTCAAATAATTTTGTGTAATCTTCTTATCTTTGTATTTCTATTAATATTAGCAAATTCTAATAATGTTAGCAAAGTTTTCTGCTTGTAATTCAGTTACGATATTGATAAGTTTTCTTTGCATTGATTTTTATTTTAAAATTTTATCAATTTTTTAATGGTCTTTTGAGACTTCGTGGATGATCTTCTACACTATGTTTTGCACAATATCTATTAATATCATTTATTATATTCTTCTTTTTATCTATTTTCCCAATATATAATATTGAAGCAATTTCACAAGATAACTGAAAGATAATTTTATAACAATTTTGCAACTACTTCAACAGATGTCTTTTGAACTATTTTGTGATTTTACGATTTAATTAACTACCAAAATAATACTGCGTAATATTATTTAAATGTAAATACTTATTGGTCTTTTACAGACTTATAGGAACCAACTAGAAACGTTAATATATTCTCCAAATAAACACGTATGAACATTGATTTAATAGCATTGATTTCTTTTATAGTATTCTTTTATATATGACATTAATAAAAATTTCCTAAAACTTTTGTTTTGAAAGAAAAATTAAAGAAATTACCTGGAACCTTTGCATGCCACTATATATTGTAAATTTAAATTTTCAAATTAAATTAACGAATATTGCAGTTATATAAATATTTTCATGCAAACAATTGAATTATCGAATGAAGTAATATATATTGAAAAAAGTATCAAATTCATCTA